ATGTAGATAAAAGGTTTTGTTTTTTAAATATTTCCTAATGTGTGTCTTAAATTAATAGTGGGTAATCCATACTGAGATGAAGGCTTCCACCTTTAATAGGTCATAACTTTCTTTGTGACTGATATTTCCAAACTGGATTTAATCTCAGACGTTTGAGCAAAATCAATGTAATTGCTTTTGAATTTTACTTGTATACATTAAAAAAAACCCACCCCATGATCCACTCCTCAGTTTTGCATATGTGTAACTCAAATATGTCAGAAGAAATCTTGTTCTAAGTTGTCTTGTGTTGTAGACATTACAAAGATCTAAAGGATTAGCCAGTTTTATAGGAAATTGGCTTAGTAGCTTCATGAGCATTTGAAGTTCATCAAGGCACCCTAATATTTATGTTTTCTGCTTGATCTAAATCTAGAGCAGTTCAGAACATGCAAATAAGTGCTTTAGCTTTGGATTAGTATAAAGTGTGGCACCCTAAATCATTTCAACAATGTTGATCTACGTGAATTTGAGGAAAAAGCAATTCTACTTGCAGTAAAGGCCTGAAATACCGCACCACCTTCCTTATTTTACACACACAAAAAGCCTCTTCAAGTAGAATTCAATGGGACAAAGCTTGTGTTTAAGTGTTTTGCTGATTCAGGGCCTTGTGTAAGGAGATAGGTGCCTTTTCAAACTAGCTTGAATCCAGCATGCATGGGTAACAACAGCAATGAAACTGCTGTGGGTTTGGGAAGCGTCCAGATACTACCGTGTTTCCCCGAAAATAAGACAGTGTCTTATATTAATTTTTGCTCCCAAAGATGCGCTAGGTCTTATTTTCAGGGGAGGTCTTATTTTTCCTGGAGCTTCGGGGCCTTATATTCCGGGGTGGCCTTATTATCGGGGAGGTCTTATTTTTGGGGGATGCCTTATATTACAGCGAGAGGCAAAACTGGAAGTAGGTCTTATTTTTGGGGGATGTCTTACTTTCGGGGAAACAGGGTAGCTCCCCCAAAACAATAACCGGGTGGGTGTCAAGCAACTGTTAACAGCCATTGTCCAGCAAGGGAGCTACAATGCAATGACTCACTTGCACAAGGCCACACCAGGGGAATTGCTCAACCTTGCCTGGTGACTCAGCAATACCCACCAGACGTGCCTGGACTTGTGTTCTCCAAGCATGTGGACTAAAGGTATAAAACAGAACACAGGGGCCCCAGGCTTGGCCTTTGTCCTTCCCTGACCTATGCTGTAAGCAACAAGTATGCTCAGAAGACTGATGATATCAACAGAGGAGAAACCTGTATATTAAGGACTGTAAGTTCCAGTGGGGTGAGAACATTGCTTGATCTAAATACTGTCTAGTGCAGGAGTTCTCAAATTTCAATGTACCGCGACCCCCCTTCTGGCAATAAAAATTACTACATGACCCCAGGAGAGGGGACCAAAGCCTGCGCCCCACTGCCCTGGGTGTAGGTGGAAGGGGGCAAAGCTGAAGCCCAAGGAAGGGCTTCAGCCCTAGTTGGAAGGCCTGTAACTTGAGCCTTACCACCCAGGGCTGAAGCCCTTGGGCTTCGGCTTCAGCCCTGGGCAGTGGGGCTTGGGCTTTGGCTTCGGCCCCGGAGCCCAGCAAGTCTAATACCAGTCCTAGCGACCCCATTAAAATGGGGTCACAACCCACAGTTTGAGAATCGTTGGTCTAGTGTGATAAGGGTTAAGGTTTAGATTGTGTGCTTATATATGTGTATGTTTTTGGTAACCACTCTGCATTTTTGTCTACCACTTGTAATCACTTAAAATCTATCTTTTGTAATTAATAAACTTTTTTTACTGTTTATCTTTACCAATGAGTTTGCCCAAAGTGTGTGGTAAAGCTGCGCAGGTTTACAAAGTCTGGTGTATATCCACTTTCCATTGATGAAGTGGTGAACCAATTAATAAACTTGCATTGCTCAAGAAAGGGTCTTGAGCAGTGCAAGATGGTATATTCCTGAGGTACAAGGCTGGGAACTGGGGGGGATTTGGCTGGTGCCTTTCTCTATGTGATTCATGCGTGGTTTTGAGAGCATTCGTGCAATCTAGATGGGTGTAGGGCTTCACATGCGGTTGTGCTGAGTGATAACAGCACCCAGAGGGGTTTGCTGCTTGTCACTAGCAAAAGCACTGTGAGAGACAGCCCAGACTGGAGTGTTAAGGGGGCACAGCGGTCCCACAGTCCCAGGCTGCACCCCAGGGATCCTGTCACGGGGTATATTATAGAGCTCTGTAAAATCATGAATGGTGTGGAGAAAATGCATAAGTATTATTTTCCCCTTCATGTAATACAAGAACCAGGGGCCTCCCAGTGAAATTAATAGGCAGCAGATTTAGAACAAACATAAGGAAGTACTTCTTCACACAATGCACAATCTGTGGAACTCGATGCCAGAGGATGCCAGAGGTATAACTGGCTTCTAAAAAGAATTAGATAGCCATTGATGGACCTAGCCTCAATGAACTTATTAGTCAATATTGTCGGGGATGCAACCCCCATGTCCTGGGTGTATCTTAAACCTCTGACTGCCAGAAGGTGGGACTGGATAATGGGATGGATCACTCAATAAACTGTCACTTCAGAAGGAATGAACAGATCTGGTGCCGGCCACTCGACTAGAGGGACCATTGGTCGGACTCAGTATGGCCATAATTATGTTCTTATACCAATAAAGTCAGTGGGATTATTCCCTCATTTAAATGTTCTTAGCCAGCTCCTAAAGAGTGTTAGTGAAGCCAGTATAATTGAAGCCAATGGAACGATGCTGATTTGCACTAGTTGCTGTTCTGGCCCACTGTGTTTGTCAAGCCGCTAAACGACTGAAGTCCACATGTGGTTGTGCAGCTTGCAGAACATTCAGACAGTTTCAGAGTGTAATATTTTAGATTTTAAACAGCTAGACCATTAGATTTTTCCCCATGTTCAGCCTAAACTTTCTTGTACTCAACTGTATCAGGAGTAATTAGTTAGACCATCCTTCTTAATCCACCCTAAATAATCTTCTTTCTTTTGTGGCTTCAAACTTTAAGTATTTGTTGATAGTTATGTTTTCCCCTTAGCTGTGTTTAGCAAAGCAATACCTCTTTAACTCTAGTTTCTCCAAATTTCTGCAGCCCTTTAATCATTTTTCTTTGGCTTCTTCCAATCCTTTTCAGTTTACTGACCTTTTCCTTGACCTGAGCAAACCAGAACTGTATACATTCTCTTGTTGGCTGTACGTGCTTGGGAAAAATTACTCATCATGAAAGACAAGTTTCTGTAAGACAGACTTTGAGTGCATTAAATAAATATAAATTTTATTAAAAACACCCACATCTCAGCGTTATCAGGAATGATATAATAATAAACAGCTTTCAAATAACCTGCATTCATTACATTACAATACTTACAGTATTTATAACCATCCTCAGATTTTTATAGACTTACCAAACATTTCATGAAAATGAGTGAAACTAAAGTTAAAATAATAAAAAAAAAAGGTAGAACATAAGCATGGAAAAAACACACAGAAGTTCATTACCTTAGTGTCAAACTGCTAAAGTTTCCTACACAAGTTAACCACTAGCTTTAGAAGTGAACTTTACACCACTGTGCGTCAATCAAGATGAAAAATTCATTCAAGTAAAGTTGACACCACTCAGAAGCATCTTCAAGTATGGCTATAGTCAACCTGATAATCCTATACACACAATTTTATGTCTGCTTTTTCATTCATTCTGAGGCAGGGTTCTGTACACCTAAATTACAGTTTAGGTATTTACAATACATAATTGAATCCCCAACTAAGCTTCCTGCTATTGTTTGCCAGCAGTTTGGCAAATGACAGTGAATGGTATATTAACCAAACATCAACTATGGATGGCATGATGGATATGATTCAAATAAAAAAAAAATCGAGAGATTAAATTTTAAAATGATTTAATTAACCTAATACATAAGGAAATTATAGTTAAGGTTTAAAAAACTTGAAACTCCTGTTTCAATGAAAACAAACATTTTTAAATTTTTTTTTGTATTTATAGTGGTAAAGCCACATACTAAGAATTTCAAAAATTGCCAGAATATAAATATTTGACCAATAAAACCAAAAAGGCCTCCTTTTATTGAATAGAATTAGGTTGTAATTCCGCTAGACAACGTCTTTAGATCAATCTTACAGTATATTGCACAACAAATAGCTAAATGATGGAGGTTTGTTTGTTTAGGGAAGCCCTCATACAGACTGTACCTTTTTAAAAAAAAATATTTTATTCATTACAGTATCCCAGAAGCCTTGTTTAGAGAGTGATTTGAAACACTCTAGCAAACGGTCACTTGCCAAACCTCTGCCTTACAATTTTCCCTTTAATTAGCTCAGTGCATTCTACTTTCTTTCTTTGTTTGAAATAGGCAAAACAAGTCTAAAACTTTTAAACACTTTCATTACAATAAAAAGAGCTAACAAATTTACAAAATTAGTTTGTTACATCAATATATATACAAGTAAAAGTAGAAGAGGGATTCAAAAGAGAAGAGTTAAATCCCTGAAAAAAATAAAATAAAACCCACAAGAATAATATATTTATTAACCTACAACAGCTTTACATACACACAGGTGACATGTTGGCATAAGGAGAACATGAGCTGAAATATCCCTGAATTTTTAGGAAAAAAAAAAAGGTTGAAGTTCAAGTTATACTTGCTAAAATATCAAGTACTGAGACAAAAGGTATTTTTTTCAAAGGCTATGGGGGGCGGGGGAGGTGGTATACAATATTATAAACTTTCACTCTCAGTTCAATATCCTATTGCCAAACTAGTGTTGAGGTATATGACAAGTAGGAACATCACTCAAATCTTTTAATGTATTTTTAGCTCACATTATGATATATTTGTAGCAGGCTGAGTAGCACCATGATGTGAATTCAGCTTCAAACCCAAATATATATATATATATATATATATATATATATATATATATATATATATGTGTGTGTGTGTGTATATATATATGTATATATAATTTTTACAGTACTAAAATACTAAAGCATTGCATTAAAAAAGAAGGTTTTGTTTACAATTTAATTTACTATACAACTTTTGCTTTTTTTTTTATAGAAATTAATGATTTAAAACCACCACAGCAAGCCAGCTGCCTTTTCCCCTCCATTTAATCAATGGAATCACACAGAACTAACCTTCTTCATTAATTTTATGTAGGCATCAGTCTGCTCAATCTTCCTGGAAAAGAGGACACTTACACTGAGAAATGACATACACCACAATTTATATAATTATTAACACAAAAACAATCTGCCATTCAATTATCTGAAGAGCATACAGATCTTTTAGAAATAGCAGAAACCTAAGCTAACTAGTTGTAGAACCTGTCACATGCTGCTAATTATTACCTGTGGTTAATATAAAATTCTCTCCTTAAAACTGTACTCATTTGAGCAATAAACTTGTCATAATAATTGTAAAAAACTGTTACAGTATAGCTGTGAGAGATGAGCACCAGTAAAATGTGTGTTGTGTACTAAAGCATTCCCTTGTATCCAGTAAACCCCATTTCTACTGTAACTGACTTATTAAAAATGGATATGTAGCCCACCAGCAGATGTATGGCTAAAGCCAAAAGTATTTAAAAGCTTTAAAAAAAAAATCTTTGCATTTTAAAATCAAAGTAAACGTTCTTTCTTTCTTTTAATGTCTTAGTACCTTAGCACTGTTCAAGTTGCCAAGCTTAGGTAGACAAAGTGCTTCTGAAACACTATTTTAAAAAAAAATATCTCTCTATATATTATTGTCCCTTAACAAGGACTTGACTGGATGAGCAAAATCCAGAGGTCTTTAATTCCCATATGTTAAAAAGTAAGCGTGTTTTAGTAACAGGCAAATTTGATACAAACATGAATGAAAAGGTCCCCCCTGTTGTTCAAGGATATTTGAATACACCATTAACATTTTAATCTATTATAAAGGCATTAACTGTTCAACGGTTATAATAAAGACACCATTTTCTTAGATAGCACCATGTTTTAGAATATCCAAACAAATTCAGTGTTTTGCTGTCTATTCATTATGTTCTATATGTATCTATTTTGTTAAATAAAATCAAGAGACTATTAAGATTACAGTAAAAACTGCATGTTAAAAAGCCATAATTCCAGTATTTCAGTACATCATAGATTCAGCACCAGATGGTATTTTAAGATTCCTGCTGTTGTAATACTACAGTATTTTAATTTTTTGCTCCTGTTCCATAACTATGCAAAGTCGATATTATTAAAAGTGGTCACAGATGTGCAAAACTGTAAGGAAAAAAGTTACATTTGCAGATTCTCTCTTCCAATAATGGAGCCAGTGTTTTTAAATGTAAATTGTGAAACACTTTTTTTTTTTTGTTTTTTGCATAGGATGCTTTGGTCTTGTTTCCACATGCCATCTGTGACCACTTACAAGTCAGTGGAAAATAAGTGCGGTGGTAAGATTACCTCTTTTTGCTGGTGTGCTGAGGTTTTTCCATTGACAAGTTTAATGAAAATACTGTTTCTTTCCCTGCCCACCCCTCCCTGCAACCTAACTGAGAACTATTCGATTGACAATTTGTTTTTTAAAATGAGGTAAACAACAAAGGTGTGAAGTTATATATATCTGTTGTAAGGCCCTGTAACCCGTGTAAAGGCATATGGAGATGTAGTTACTGTGGAGTTTGTGGTGACTGACATAGTCCTTTGTGCAAGAGACTTGACAAAGCGCACGTATGTTGGTTCTGAGGGTTCATGTGATTCAGTAGGCTCCCGCTTTGATTTTTTGCCATAAGATTTTTGAGGCACGTAATCGGGACCATATTTTTCACACTCCTCTTCTTTTTCTCTTGCCTTCTCAGCCATCTTTGCCTCCCACAGAGCCAGGCCATGTTTTGGCTCATTCATACTCTTATGTTGATAGAAGACAAGTGATATCCTTGTGGGATGGTTCCTGTTGGGATTTTTCAAGGGGGTCGTTGCATGGAGCTCACGTTTTGCACATTCAATGAGAATTGACCCATGAGATGGGGCAACTGCCACTCCTCCAATATCTGCATCCAGAAAGCTGTGCTCGCTATCTGACCAGACATCATCGGGATCCTCTGCTTTCTCTGGATTCAGACTATCAGTTTTATTTAAACTATGTTGGGGAGTAGTCCTATCGTGGTTAAGACCTGGAAGCATATTAGACAACCCATTAGCTGTATGTGAAGTCATTTCACTATCCTTATTTTGGAGATGTAGTGAATGAGGAGGACCACTGAATATACTTGAAGCTGAGTGGTAATCATGTGCTAGATGTGAAGGTGGATGTAGGGGATGTTCACCATTTTTATTCATGGAAGTATAGTCCACACTTGGATTACTAAAATTAGATTTTAATCTTGAGGCAACATCCATAAAGTGGCTGTCAGTCTCAAGGGTGGAGTAAGGGGAAAAAGACCCTGCGTGGTGTACATTTGGTCTATTGGTGCAATTATTAAAAGGGTCTACCTGCATATTTTGGTTTCCATAATTCAAGTACTTGGAACCAAAACTCTGGTTATTCCCAAGTCTATGCTGGTATAGTGTATGAATGGGTGGCAGACTTAGTTTAGATAAAGGGTCTTGGCTCTGATACCTATATAAGTCCAAGTGTTGAGGTTGTGAAGGGTAGGAACCCAAGTAAGAGGGGCAGTTGTCCATAGGCATGTTTCCATTGCATTGGTAAGGTGGATATTGGTTATTTTGACTTAGTGATCCTGAATAAGGGTTCATAGGATTGGAAGAATTCAAATAAGACCCTGAAGGTTGTGATGAGGTTCTATAAAGGTTTATGGGGTTGGACCCTCCATAGAGATCTGAAGTGTATGAAGAGCTTGGATGAGCATTGGCTGGATTAGGCAGCCTCATGTAAAGATTGGCAGGACCTGAACCAGAGTAAGAGTTGACAGGGTTTGACTGAGGGCTGTTAGCGAGAGTACGCTGTTGATGTTGCTGCTGTTGTAGCACGGCTGGTCCTGAAAGACGTAAAAGATCTGCAGACGGGAAAACAAAAACAAAAAATGTTTACATTGACTCTAGATGAAAACACCAAAGCAATTTCCATTACATTTCCTACATAGATTAAAAGAAGGATCCCTTTCTAGAAATACAAATACAATTCCTCTTACAGTTGACTAAACACTTCTACTTTTCCAAGTTTCTGGCAAGATGATATGTGAAAACTTGGAACAAAAGTCATAGTGTGACCTGTCCTAGAGAAGAGTCAAATGCATAAAATATAAGGGCTAAATTTTCAAAAGCAGCCTCTAAAAGGAACCTGCCAGATTTTTAAAGGTATTTAAGGTGCTTAGTGTTGCAGATAAGTGCCTAACTCCCATTGATGGAGAGTTAACATAGAGGGTGTTAGGTACCTATCTGCATCTCTAGACACCTAAATACCTATAAATTCTATAGGCCAGAGAATCAGCGAAATATAGGGCTGGAAGGGACCTCAAGAGGTCATGTAACCCCTGGGCTGAGACAGGACTAGGTATATCTAGACCATCCCTGACATGTGTTTGTCCAACCTGTTCTTGAAAACCTCCAATGATGAGGATTCCATAACCTCTTTTGGTAACTTATTCCAGAACTTAATTACCCTTATAGTTAGAAAGATTTTCCTAATATCTAACATAAAACTCACTTGCTGCAGATTAAACAGATAACTTCTTGTCCTACATTCAGTAGATATGGAGAACAATTGATCACAGTCCTCTTTTTTGGGGCATAAGCTTTCGTGGGTAAAAGCTTATGCCCAAATAAATCTGTTAGTCTTTAAGGTGCCACCAGACTCCTTGTTGTTTTTGTAGATACAGACTAACACGGCTACCCCCTGATACTTGAGTCCTCTTTTTAAAACCCTTAACATATTTGAAGATTGTTATCAGATCCACCCTCCGTCATCTTCTCTCAATGCTGAATATGCTCAGTCTTTTTACCCTTTCCTCACAGGTTTTTTGTTGCTCTTCTCTGGACTCTCTCCAATTTGTCTACATCTTTCCGAAAGTGTGGCACCCAGAGTTGGATGCAGTACTCCAGCTGAGGCCTCACCAGTGCTGAGTAGAGCAGGATAATTACTTTGTATGTCTTACAAAGGACACTCCTGTTAATATAGCCCAGAATATTAGCTTGTTTTACAACTGCATCACACTGTTGACTCATACTCAATTTGTGATCCAGTATAACCTCCAGATCCTTTTCAGCAATACTACTGCCTGGCCAGTTATTCCCCATTTTGTAGTTGTGCATTTGATTTTTCTTTCCTAAGTGAAGTACTTTGCCCTTGTCTTAACTGAATTTCATCCTGTTGATTTCACACCATTTCTCCCATTTGTCAAGGCTGTTTTGAAATCTAATCCTGTCCTCCAAGTGCTACCAACCTCTCCCTGCTTGATGTCATCCATAAATTGTATAAGCATATTCTCCACTCCATTATCCAAGTCATTAATTAAAATATTGACTAGTACTGGACCCAGGACAGACCCCACTATGTATGTCCCCCTCCAGTTTGACAGCAGACTACTGATAATTACTCTGATTATGGTCTTTCAACCAGTTTTGCACCCACTGTATAGTAATTTAACCTAGATTACATTTCCTTAGTTTGCTTATGAGAATATAATGTGGGCCTGTGTCAAAAGCCTTACGAAAATCAAGGTATCATGGTGACAGAGAACCCCGTTGGGACTGCCACCTGATGTGCTGAGACTACCTCTGAGCCCGTTTTCCCTGGCAGCTTGGAACTTCAGTAGTCTGTCTTGTTGAGCCAGACACACTAGCCTAGGGATCGGCAACCTTTGGCCCGCGGCCCGCCAGGATAAGCATCCTGGCAGGCCAGGCCGGTTTGTTTACCTGCCGCGTCCGTAGGTTCGGCAGATCGCGGCTCCCACTGGCCATGGTTCACCGCTCCAGGCCAATGGGGATGGCGGGAAGCGGTGCAGGCTGAAGGATGTGCTGGCCGCCGATTCCCGCCACCCCCATTGGCCTGGAGCGGCGAACCACGGCCAGTGGGAGCCGCGATCTGCCAAACCTGCAGACGCGGCAGGTAAACAAACTGGCCCGGCCCGCCAGGGTGCTTGCCCTGGCGGGCCACGTGCCAAAGGTTGCCGATCCCTGCACTAGCGTGATGCAAACACAGACCCAGGTCTGAACCATGTCCCCCACAAGCTGCAGGCTTAACTGAAAACAGCTTAAGGAGTGCTCCTGTTTCCAGCACCCAGATCCTAATGGGGACCAAACCCCAAATAAACCCGTTTTACGCTGTATAAAGCGTATACGGGGTAAACTCATAAATTGTTTGCCCTCTATAACACTGATAGAGAGATATGCACAGCTGTTTGCTCCCACAGGTATTAATTACTTGCTCTGGGTTTATTAATAAGTAAAAAGTGATTTTATTAAATATAAAAAGTAGGATTTAAGTGGTTGCAAGTAATAACAGACAGAACAAAGTAAATTACCAAGCAAAATAAAACAAAAACATGCAAGTCTAAGCCTAATACAATAAGAACCTGATTACAGATGAAACCTCACCCTCAGAGATGTTCCAATAAGCTTCTTTCACAGACTAGACTCCTTTCTAGTCTGGGCTCAATCCTTTCCCCTGGTACAGTCCATGTTTCAGCTCAGGTGGTAGTTAGGGGATTTCTCATGACTGCAGCCCACTTTGTTCTGTTCCACCCCCTTATATACCTTTGGCACAAGGCGGGAATCATTTGTCTCTTTGGGTCCCCACCCCACCTTCTAAATGGAAAATCACCAGGTTTAAGATCAATTCCAGTACCAGGTGACATAGTCACATGTCCTGTGAGATCCCAAGCCTTCATTCTTCCCGGCCTGACTGACAGGAAGGCTTGCAAGTAAACAGAGCCATCTACAGTCAATTGTCCTAGTTGATGGGAGCCATCAAGATTCTAAACCACCATTAATGGCCCACACTTTGCATAATTACATATTTCTAGTTTCAGATACAAGAATGATACATTTATACAAATTGGATGATCACATTCAGTAGATTATAAGCTTTGTAATGATACCTTACAAGAGACTTTTTGGATGAAGCATATTCCAGTTACATTATATTCACACTCATTAGCATATTTTCATAAAATCATAAGGAGTGCAACGTCACAATCATGTCTACTGCTTTCCTCCATCCACTAGGCCAGTTGCCTGGTCAAAGAAGGAAATTAGGTTGGTATGATATGATTTGTTCTTGACAAATCCATGTTGCCTATTACTTATCACCTTATTATCCTCTAGGTGCTTACAAACAGATTGTTTGATAATTTGTTCTAGTATCTTTCCTGATATCAGTTACACTGACTGGTCAATAATCCCTCTCTGTTATCCCTTTTAAAGACAGATGCTATGTTTGCCCTTCTCCAGTCCTCTTGGACCTCATCCATCCTCCATAGGTTCTCAACGATAACTGTTAATGGTTCAGAAACTGCTTCAGCTAGTTCTTTAAGTACCGTAAGATGAATTTCATCAGGCCAGGCTGACTTGAATACATCTAACTTACCTAAATATTCTTTAACCTGTTCTTTCCCTATTCTGGCTTGCATTTCTTTCCCCTTATTAATATTAATTGTGTTAAGTCTCTGGTCACAATTTACTTTTTTAGTGAAGATGGAAGCAAAATAGGCATTAAACATCTCAGCCTTCTTGATGTCTTCCGTTATTAGCTCTCCTTCCCCTAATTAGAAGACCTACACTTTCCTTTGTCTTGCTCATACTGCTAATATATTTATAGATCCTCTTCCTATTGCCTTTCATGTCCCTGGCTAGATGTTATTCATTTTGTGCCTTCACCTTTCTGATTTTGGATGTACATGGTTGTGCTATTCTTTTGTACTCCTTGTTAGTAATTCATCTATGTTTCCATTTTTTGTAGGATTCCTTTTTTATTTTCAGATAATTAAAAAGCTCCTAATAGACCTTTTGGTCTGTTGGCCTTTTACTATTCTTCCTATCTCTCCTTTGCATCAGAATAGTTTGCTGTTGCACTTCTAATATTGTCGCTCAGAGAAACTGCCAGGTCCTCCTGAACTCCTTTTTCCTTTAGATTTTCTTTCTATAGGCTCTACTTTTCCAGTTCTCTGAGTTTGTTAAATTCAGCTTTTTTGATGTCCCTTGTCCTTATTTTGCTGCTCTTAGTTTCCTTAGAATCATAATGATAAAAGCTATCATTTCATTTTCACCCAAATTGCCTTCAACCATCAGATTCACAACCAATTCCTCACTGTTAGTCAGAACGAAGTCTAAAATGGCTGTGCCCTTGGTTAGTTCCTCCAACTTCTGAAACCAAAAGTTATCCCAATACATTTCATTTTCTAAGACTTCTGTTGTTAAAGTCCCCCATTACTACCAGGCCTTGTGTTTTGGAGAGTTCCTTTATTTGTTCCAGGAATGCCTCATCCACCTCCTCCTCTTGACTTGGTGGCCCATAGTTAGGCTTGGCAGGATTTAATATAAATCAATATATGATGGTAAACATGGATTTCACTTGACACATTGAAATGGATGGAAAAAAATATTGATCCGCATTGGTGGGAATGCAGTCTCCCCTGCTTGTGCCTGCAGGGATTGGGTGTCACCAGCCCTGTAGCAGTGCGGTGAGCCATCTGCAGCTGCGCTGTCATGGCCTCGCTCGCTCACTCACTCACCCACCATCCAGGAGTGTTCGAGCCATCCTCAGGCAGGAAATTTTCGTCAGTACGCCGTGGCTGCGGGCTTGTCCCCTCATTGCAGTCCTGGCTGGGGGGTCTCTGCTCTGTCAGGCCAGGACTGCAGCCACCTCCATGCCTTGCTCCCCAGTGTATTGGGCCCCTGGGTCATGTAGAGATCCCCCTGCAGCCCCGCTGTCAGTACTGCCCAAAGCCCAGCCCCAATCCTATCCCCCCCTTAATTTCCAACAACAGTAAAAACTGTTAAAACAAAAAAATCTTAAACAAAAATTAATAGTCAAAATTTGAAAAAAATAAAAATCAAATTTTGCCAAGCCTATCTATAATAGACCCCTACAATGACATCACCCCTGCTTCTCTCCCCCCCACTTTTTATCTTTACCAGAGACTTTCAATTAGTCTGCCTCATGGTTTTCTCAAGGCTCTTTCTAAACTGCCTTCATTTCTATGGTTAATTACTGTTACTGTTATTAACAAGTGTACTGACTAATAGAATATTCTTGCATTTACCTGCTAACTGTTTTGCATGACCTGCAGCCTCCGAGCTGGCTTGTTTGTGGCGTGCTGCTGCAGACTTATCTTTTTCCGCTTTGCTAGAGCTATTCTCCAAGGAGGAAAGCTTTTCTGCTGCCGCTTTCTTGGCTTCTAACTTCTTTTGCCTGCATGTCTTAACAGGCTCTGCCAGCATCCTTACTTTGCGCCTAAAGGAGCTGAGAACTTGAATGCTGCCATTCTTCTTTTTCTGTTCCTGGCCTTCAGTACTTCCAAACTCATCCACATCAGAGACTTTGTATAACGGGAGTACATGCAGCTGCTCATCTTCTGGCATTTGGCCAATTTCACGATTGTCTTCTCTGGTTAGTGTGCACACCTGCCCCAAAGGTATGGTAGAAAAACGATCAAAAATCAGCGTGAGAAGAACAGAAAACTCTGTGAAGTTTTGGCCTATTTTGCATTACACGGTCAGCTCAGATAACTCTATAATGGCAGGTAGTTGACCACTAACATCAGATTGCAAGGCTCATGACATAACCGACGTAATGCCGAATAGAGCATCCAATGTAGGTATCAACTGAATGCTAACCCCTGCCCCTCCCCCTTTTTTTTGGAAAATTGTTTAAGCTTTAACTTCTTTTTTGCTTCTAGATTCAGCATCCAAGCGTGCAACTTCCCTCCCCCCCCCGCCACCTTTCCCATGTTTGGCAATATTAAGGGACACTTTATATAAAATGTGTATTTTCCTCACATTCCATATTCCACCTGGAAGTAGGCAGGATAGCCATGTGTTCCCAAAAGTTAAGTGAATTCTTGGGCTAATGATTCCATGGTCAGGGAACTGAAATGCTAGGCTCCCTGGAACTCTACAGCCAGCAAGATTTTTTTTAGGTTGTGGCACGATAGCTAGCGACATATTAGCAATGCTGTTTAGTATAAAAAAAAAACCAACCCCATGACATTACATATACACTTCTACTCCGATATAACACTGTCCTCGGGAGCCAAAAAATCTTACCGCGTTATAGGTGAAACCGCGTTATATCGAACTTGCTTTGATCCGCCAGAGTGCGCAGCCCTGCCCCCCCAGAGCACTGCTTTACCACGTTATATCCGAATTCGTGTTATATCAGGTCGCGTTATATCGGGGTAGAGGTGTACTTTCAAAGACCACCCTAAAATTCCAAGGGCAGCGTGATGGTATGGCAGATTCTAGGGCCTTGTACTGGAATGCAGGCTCCTTCATTGAGTCAACCTCACATTAGATATTTGAATGCCAGATACAGATTCAAGGAACTGCTGCAGAGACATAGCAGTAGGCACATCTTGTGAACTCCATCCAGGATATAAGATGTGATGGGGGTATCTCTCAAAGGGAATGAGAAGCTGCAAGACAGAAAGATCTGCAGGAAAACCAGCCAGTCTTGGGGAGAAAACTCAGACGGAAGTGTATATTTTGTTAATAGTGTTTTGAAGAAAGTCAAGCCCCAGGAAGGGAGTAAGTTTAGACTTTGTAAAATATTGGGATGTTCTGCTCAGACCATGGTGAGAATAGCACCTGCTTACACGCACTGATGCAGTTACTTCAAATTACAGCAAGCTAGTCACATTTTTTTTTGCATATTTTCACTGACAGCATGCAGTAGATAGAAGTAAGCCATAAACTCTCCTATTCAATGAAGCCAGCTAGCCTTGCTCTGCTATATTTTTCAGTGTCGAGTTCTGGAGAGTAGCAGAGTTTTGTGGGACAAGAGCAAGGGTTTTATTTAGTACTGGCCAAAGAATAGAAATGATATTTGAGAGGATTTTGACATTTGTTTTTATTCTGATTTGAAATTAAACCTGAAAATTTTGAATTTTCTGCAAAATAAATTTGAGGGAATAAAATCTTTCCACCTCAAAATCTTTTGGTTATAATATAATATGAAATAAAGTTGAAATTTCAAATGTAATACAAAATTTTAAAAATTCAAAGTGAAAAGTCATTTTGAGAGGACAAATCACAATATTTCACTCCAAAAATGTCAAAATATGAAGTTTTAGCATCATCGTAAATTCCCGCCCCCTTTTTTTCTCCAAAATGGAATTTTGGCAAAATCAAACTGATTTCACTAACTGTTTCAATTTCAAACTATATTTTCCAGTGGAAAACTGTGCCACTGAAGTTTTTCAGCCAAATCTATTTTAGATCTTTCTCTAAAGTCTCATTTAAATGAAAAATCCTGTACGGATTGCACATTTTAGCTCCAGCTACTGATGAATGTCTCTTCTTTTAGCAATTAGCTTTATGTGCAAGCTTAATAGAAATATAGATAATGAATTAAATATGAGAAATCAGTGCTGAAACAAGGCAGCTTTATGCAGCACTGACTTACCAATGTACTCCCATTCTGCATATTGTGCAAGTCTCTGTGAGCATGAGCACAAAAATCCAGGCAGGCAGTGACCCCTGAGAATGGACGACCTTCTTTTAAACCAAGACGGCACTCTGGCGCTCTGTGTTCATACTCAATCTGGAAACAGAAGTCAAGTAATCACTGAAACTTATCTGGACAGCCCATTACATGGAATTACTACTGAATACCTTAGCCTCCTAATATCTTGGCAATGGCAGAGTATAGTTCTTAGAGGTGAACAATTCCAAGAAATTACTTTACGGTAATAAAAATGAGAATACAAGCTCCTCTTTCTTTTCTTGCTACTCAGTTCCATGTTGCCTTCCATTGTTCAAACTCCATGCTTCTGTCATTATTATATTTGTGTATTTAGCTGACAATACTTCTCCTTCAAGATTACTTTTCATTTTCCTGGCATTGGCCCGTTTCTTCAGATGATAAAATACAGTATATAGTTTGAATGTCTGGCATGTTGTTAAGTTATAAACACAGGCTCAGAAATATTGAACTACTTAGGAAGAGTGCATTTCCTTGGAAAACTGACTTCCAATGGGCTGTATGGAGAAGTCTGTGCAGAATATGACCATTAGATTGTAATTTCTTGGCACATTGACAGTCTTTCACTATATTTGATATAACAACAAGCATGATGGTGCTCAAAAATAGATTATTGATAATCAGCACAATATTTTCTATTGTGTTTTCATTACTAATTTTGTGAAATGTTCACACTGAAACCACAAGTCACACACAATTCTTGGTTTCACGTTTTATTAGAAAGTTAGAAGTTGTCAAAAACTTCACGAAGATTCATGAACCTTTCAGGTGAACATGGGCCCTATTTTGAGTAAATTTATGGGTTGGCATTAAAATGTGAAATTTGAGGTTTGGCTTCCACACCAGGAAGAACCTGGCTAGTTTGGTGATTATTTTTATTTTTAATTTGAGATATTTATTTCATTCAAATCTGAAAATCAAAGCAAAGCTTGAGAGATGTGAACCTGTGCAATCTGAAACAAGAGACAGTGTTTGGATTCAAATCTGGATTAGAGTGAGGTTAGGGTTCTGGTTCAAGGCCAGTACAAAGACAGGGATCATGTTCAGATTCCATGGGGCTGAAGGTGCATGAGATGTTCTTGTAGAATTTCTGCGGGATCTAAATTGGAAAATCCAATAATGGATTTGCCCTGGAACCAAACATGCAGAGACAGGTTTGGATTGGAGTAAATCAGGGAAATCGAACATCTGTCAATTTAGCCAGTGAATAATGCTGAATCTGGAAACCTTAAGGACCTTATCAATCACAGGAGCAAAGTGTTTGCTAGTGTGTTAAATGCTATATAATGTATTGAGTGAGCAAGATTTAGTCTAACATAAGAGCAATATTGGCACAAACTGTAAACAATAACTTACAGCAAAGAACATGCATTAGCAAAGTAAAGCAAAGATCAGATTATTTTAGTGACTTTGCCAACTCTTTTTGACCTACCTGGTTGTTATATGCATCTGGTGCAAGTTTCTTGTAGGTAGGTGCCATTAGAGTTGATAGGTTTTGCAAATTGGACTCTAGCTTTTCTTCCTGTTATCAGATGAAATAATGTTAACATATTATCATCTAACCACCCATATTACTATATATGCAATCTACCATCTTTAGAAGCTACTGGACACTATGATACTACAGAGATGACTGGTATAAATGCCTAATATGCATTGTAAATGCCTTGTAATTCTTATAGTGATCCCTTTTACTGTTTTTAAAAGCACAACATATGTCCAGAAATGAGCTTCTATGATCCTTATGAGGAGGCATCATATAACGCTCATCTGATTTATAAGAAAAGATGTACCCTACTATGTAAAGGTTAAACCCAAGCATGATATGACTAGTTATTACAGTTTTTTGAAAAAAAAAAAAAAATCTCCCTTTTAAAAACCTTGAGAGAAAAAAAGAAAAGAAAAAATAACCGAATGCCCAATCAGCATCAATTTAATCCATCTAATTTGAGAGTTTTACATTCTGAAATCATAACACTTCAATACAATGAAATTATCTTTCTATGTAGCAATTTAAAATTATTGGAATACTTCAGACTTTGAAAAAATGACAGTTTTTGAGCAATCAAGAGTTGTGGGTGTGGCTAGTGTAGAACAATTTGGGATACAAATGACCACTTACTTTTTGTTTTTAAGAGAGATACAATCTTTCAAAATGAAAGGCTCTTAAAAACATGAAGTGCTCTAATAAATTTAAGTTGCTCCACTATTTTCTCATGCCCAGAATCCTAATTTCAGATCTGTTTCTTAAATTAAAAATACAGGCCTCATTCCAAGTTTTTAAAAAGCAGCAGATTTACACAGAGAAATGTAATCATTTTGGGAATTTGTATGTTCATGAAAGCACGTGAAAAGCTGTGAAAAATCTATCAGTTTTGGTATGCACTAATTTGGTTAAAAAAGTTTGACATGCTAGTTTCAATCTGAGTTCTGGGTTCACAGGAACCCAAAATCACAGTATGACATTATCAAAAACCTTTCACTGTGTCCCTTTTTTTGGGTTGCTATCAAAACCTGGAACCATTATGTTGCTTTCCTTTCCAGCCTACAAGTTACAACTCATAAAATGTCACTTCTTCTTTGAGTCTTTGTGTAGATCCCACGTGTGATACGTATCACGCTTTCTTTGTTGCAGTCTCATCAAGCATAGGTATTTTATAATAGAGTGGAAAAAGAGGGTCAAAAGTTACAACTGTCTCAGTGATGCTAACATTTTTAATAGAATATCAAGTGTGCTAATATAACCCACAGACCATATGATGCCTGCTAGATAGAGTACAAAGGCATAAAAATGTCACATGAACAGATGGTTTAAAAAAAAGTAAAAAAATTCCATGATAAATGTTATCAAAATTCTTGCCTTTTTCATAAAAATTTTGAGAATCCAAAAAATGTGACCAGCTCTCTAATTACATGATAAGTCACTGACTATATGTCTGAAATGCTAAATATTATGGGTTTTGCATAAAATGCCCCCAGCTTTTAGTATGTTACGTGGCCCATCCATCAGCAGACAAGCCCCATCGTAGGGGACACATTTGCACTTGTATGTGCCAAAAAAGTAAGCCAGGCAATCAGCAGAACCCTCCACAGAAAGGCAGCCCATTAACAATTAGCAGCCCTGTTAGCTGAGGGTATCAAGAACCCACTGGAGTCAGAACTTCAAAATCAACTTGTTCCCCAGCTACAGGCACGGCTGCTGAGGTCTATGACATGCTTTGATATGATCAGCATGCAGTTCTGGGTCCAGTACTTACAGCATCTTAGAGGCCACTCTGGAAACCTTTCCTACACTGTTGGCGAGGCAGCAGCATCCACTGAATGAGTCCTCCCAGTCCTTTCATTCTTTCACTCCCACTGTATCTCACAGCTCCCTCATACTGTCTCCATGCAATTTAGTCCAGCTCGGAGCTGCAAAAAGTTATATGCCTCAACCTAGTACATCCTGTATTCTGCCATTGTGGAAACTGCATGTGCAAAGCTTGTCTGTGGGCCTGATATAGCCACAACTGTTCTGGGTATGCCCTTTCTTGCTCTTTCACAAAATCTGCATATATCGTTTCATGTCTCATGGTTTTGACCTGCTGTCAGCATTTTGGCAGTCAGTTAAGCTGGCTCAGTGCCAAGGGTAAATCCATTTTGACTACTTAATTTCCCTATGTGGGTGGATTTCAAATGAGATTCTGGCCCTGTGTCTACTGTACCTCAACTCCACAGGAACAACAGAAACATTTTATACAATGAGGCAAACTTCACTTTAAAATTAACACCAACCTCTTTTGGATCATCCCCCAGCAGCTTAAACTTCCTTGGGACCTTGCTTCTGGCAAACTTGCACCCATTGTAGTACATGCTCCAGGAGCAACCAAAGGAAAAAGAAGCACCACAAGTCTCAGGGTCCAGCCCTTGACATGCACAAGTCCGTCTAAGGAATAAGAGAAACATTTATGTGGCTATCAACAGCATGTAGAGCCATACATGGGTAAAAGTCTGCATGCTTGAAAATTCATGCAATACATGTCAATAATGTACATGTTCATGTATATGGGGGTAGAGTTCTTTTGTGTGGCATTTCTCCTTATTTGCCCACCATCAGTGCAGGATATCTGCTTCTTTTTGGCTTTCTGTGTTTGAATAGCCTGGGCAGGTTTTGGCCCCATAAGATAAAGTGGTCTCTTGACTTTGGCCCCATTTGTCGAATAAGTGGTCTCTTGACTTCCTAGGAAAAACTAGTTAACTCACTGCTGTCTGCCAACTGGGATAGGACTAAGTTCCTGAAACAAAGCCATGCTACCAAAAAGAGAGAACAGAATATTTGTAATAAAGTAAGCCTTGTTCTGAATGGCGTTTCTTTCTGTGTATAACCATCAAAGGGAGAAAGAGATAAAGGAGAGCAAACTACAGTTTCCTAGCTGTAAAATAGTTGACTCAAACAAAGATGTTACAAATCATTAAATATTTTGACAGACTATGAAGGTTTTGTTAGCCACTAAGCTTTTTAAAGTGCTTCTCTGTTTAGATGAAGCCTTGAGAGAATTTGTGCTCACTTCTCCAATTTTTTTGTGGGTGAGGGGAGATTTAAAATGAACTGTCATTAAACACTGTAGCCACACAACTTAATGGTATATAGAAATCGTACAGCTAATTCTCTTTATGCACTCCCGTGAGCCTAGATGGGAAAGCACATATATTGAATGTCTGTTTTATATTGAGATATTTTGTAATTGTGAGTGCAGAAAGAGGTCTTCATTGACTTTAATGAAGCTTAATTTGTCTCCCACCCAAGGACAGTAGGGTTTCAAAATTTCAAAAGTAGCTTGCTCTCGAGAGAAGTTTCTTCAAGCCCTGAATATGTAATCTGAATTGGCTAATTTTAAAAGCGGTGTATGTAACATCTTGCAGCTTTTGAACCCAAATCCTCCCCCCTGCCATGACTTCACCGGTGTTACATGGGGTGAAATCCAACACAGAATTTGTCCTACTGGATCTAGATAAACTTGTGTGAGTCAAATTCTGCTCTCAGTCAGACAAGGGCAAGTACAATTACCACTGAAGTAATGGGCCCTGTTGTGTTCTCATTTACACCAGCCTAAAACAAGAGTAACTCCAGTGAGGTTAATCGTGACACACCAGTATAAAACCAGAGAGAGGAAAATCAGATCCAAGACTTAAGTGGAACTTGTGTTTGTTTGAGAGCCGCCCTTTTGGCTGTAGCTTGATTGCATACTCAAGGGGAAGGAGAATATGATTTGTTTCACTTACTCTTCATTCAGGGCACACCGTCGGTTTGTGAGTGTGCCATACTTCCTTAGAGTGTCGGTGAGTTCAGAATACAGCTTGTCTGCCAGACTCAGGGAAATCCCCTCCCATACCAGGATAAGGATCACTATCACTGCGGTTTCACAGGTATGGCCAGCTCGTTCCCGCACCAAGCAAAGCAGCTTTTCTTCGTCACTACTTCTACGAACTACCTGCATGTACGGCAACACCATCCCCCCCAAAAAAGGCATTTCTTAATGAGAAGCAAGAGAACATGAAACCTCAACAGTAATGGTAAAAAGTTACATTTGCCAATATATGTTTTCCCCCTTGATGCTTCTGACACACAGATTCTTGCCTCCACTGAGTAGTATAGTGATAAGGGCCTGGATATTTCCCTTCTGTTTCCTGAAACTGAGGGAGTCTAGATGAGATAGATCCTGTCCGAAGAGCACAGGAGAGTTGGGGTAGGTGCAATGCCACCTTTGCAGAATATCTCTGAGCCAACAGAAATGTGTCCAGGAGGGTACTATGGCAGAACAGAGCACTGCTGTAGTAGGGGGGCAGGAAAAGCTAGATACTCCCCATGGTATTTCCCTCTGCAGAGATGGCAGTAGATATTTGTACCCAAATAAATCCTCCCTAAAGCAACAGTGAATAATTTAGGCCTCTCTTCTGCAAGAGCCACACAGATTGGGGGAAGAGATTAGAAAAGCTTCACAGATGAGCCTGACCTCATTTCTCTCCCCTGATTCCTGCTGTGCCCAGATGATAAATTACAAACTTGAGGTCAGCCTCTGTGTTTTGTGACCTCATGTGCCCTTATTATTAATTATCATGTGTAAACATTATGGCAGCACGCATACGGTGGTAGGTAGGTGAAGTTCAAACAAAGTAGGAAGACAGTTCCTGCCTCTCAGTGCCCATATTACTGTGGGTATTTCTACAAGAGGGTACAGTCTGGGATACAAAAAGACTATCATTAAAAAGGCATCAATTTGTCCTCATCTTGTTTCCTATCAACCGACCCGAAGTACTCAGTAATGATCATGCCAGAGCAGACAATGTTTACTAAAAGAGTGTGCTGGCCTCTGTTGATCAGAAAGTGTATTTTCAAAACATTGTTGTAGTGCTGTTGCACCTCTTAATTATTTCTACGCTAAATGTAACAGTAAAAAGCGTGTCTAACATTCTGGATCTTATATCTAAAAGAATGTATCTTCCTTTTCATAACTCTAGGCCAAATTTTGCTTTCACTCACATGCATGCAACTCAGCTGAAGGAACTGCAAAGATGTCAGGGCAGAAACTGGCTCAGAGTGGGCAAGTGGTCAGCCTGAAATATTGTTGATACTTAGCTGTTTTAATTCTACTTCAACTAAAATAAATACATGAATGAATGATCAAACTGAACTAGATTATTAAGGACATGTAGATATCACTCTTACCCATTTAGCAATAGGACATCCCTGAGAACTTTTGCCTTCTTTTCCAGTATAGATGACCCTCTCAATCCTTATAGCTTTACCCTTCTGTCCAAATCTTAAACAAACAAGCAAATAAAAAAAAATACAATAAGCAGCTGAATTTGAATGTGGTCTGCACAAATACTTAAAATTTGAGCACATTTCTTCGTCTTATCTTAAGAAATAAACTCTTAGCTCTAAGCAAGAAGGGATGAATCATAATGTTTCAGTCTTATTCATATCAGTACAATAATATGTTGCTATGGTGAAAGAGGCCATTTTGTAAAATGTATTTAGTTGGTCATAAAGGATTAAAATTGTCCATCTGTGCTAAATTTTTCAAACCAGATAGCTCCTTTCTATAGTGAATTTGCTGTATTTGATCATTTGGAAACACTCATTTGATAGGTATTTTAACCACCCCCCTTTTTTTTTTTAAACTGTAGCTAGTCATTTTTTCAGTTTATCGTTGTCATGGAATAGTTGGGATGCAATAGTTACATTCAACTCACTTTCTATACTGACTTCTGCTTTAGACACAGCATAAATCAGCATTTATTTTAAGACATGCTCGTAGATTATCATCCATTCCTAGTCACTTGTTGCATTTAATTATTTAGTATGGATAAGGATTATGCCTGCCTTCTATACCTAAGCAGGGCTAAAGGATACACTAAAATAATGCCTTTGATAATGTGTCTGTAAACCTTTGCAGATTTGGAGATCTGGTTTGATTCTCACTTATCTTGGTGTAAATCAGGAATAATTACACGTTTGGAGTGGAATCTGGTCCAAAGTTGTGAGTGTGTAAGAACCACAGGCAGTAGCATACAGCCCAAAGGGGAGATAGTCAGCCCTCCATGCCCCCCCCACCCCCGCCATGAACCAGCTGGCAGTTTGAAGCCTGTGCTGTGCAGAACAATCACTGCATGATTTGTTGTCATTTCTAAACACACTCCTCCTTCCGTGTCCCACAGAGGCATTTGCCTAAGGCCATTGCTGATGTTGTGGTACCCTTCTGCACAACACAATAGCGTACCAAAGTTGAAACAGCCCACTTAGTTGCAAATTTGAACAGCTCTCAGTAAATGCAACATCATGGTTCCAACAGAAACATTAACTTAGCCACATTTCATAATTGGGCCAATTCCTGTTTTTAGGTGGACTTGTGCAACTCTGTTGACATCAGTGGTATTGTATGGACATAAATGAGGGTAGCATTTGGCCCAGATCACCGTCTACTATATATGTAGTATTCTAACTAGTAATAGAAAGCATTACATGTGTGTCGTGTGGCAAAGTTAACTCTGCTATTGGAACGTTCAGTTTTGCTTTTCTTATTTATGTGTTCAAATTAAATACAAATGTTTGTATTATATTTTCTTCATGAGTAAAAGAAGGGGAAAAAGGACTAATTCCTAGATGTGGTGCTATGGAGTTGCAATTCCATACTACCCCAGGTAATTATATAGCTAAAATCCCAATCATGTTGGACTACACATGTGGTAAAGGCAATTAGTATATCGCCTTTTTCCTAGTTAAAGGCTGAGATGTTAATGTACAGCTGTTTTTAAAAAAAATTAACCATGTGCAAAACAGTTTTAATTCTTTATAAAACCTTTTTTTCCTACCAATTAGCTAATCAGGTTGCACTGCAATATGTTTCTATAATATTATTCTCACAACAGTAAATTATACAGTGAAGATAAGATATACTTTTTATCTCTTCTGACCTCTTTCCTTAAGTTGCAAGATAGGAGCTGATAGTTTTGAGTTATGTGAGCAGTGTAGAGGGTGGATGAGGGAAAAAGATAAACACACGTTTCCATGGATTCATGCGAGACATTTGTTCTCACATAACTAGAAATTCCAGACCTAGCTTGCTTTGTAGATCTGAAGACTTAAAAATAAAGCCAAGTGTGTTGAAAGCCAGTTCAGTAATGTCAATGTTATGTATGTTTAAACTCAGCAATTGCATACCTGTGTTTTAGAATATTTGTATAGTTATTTCAGTGTGTGTTTTAAAGGAAGGTTGACTTAGGGATGCAGTATTAGCTGCAAGAGCCAAATAGCGTTGTAGTTCCTCAGCCATCTTGAACCACACAGCTCCTACAATATAAAAGACTCCCAGCCTGCTTCTGTTCAAGTCATTTTTGAGCTTTTCTGGCGAAGCCAGCTGAGAGTATGAGGGTTGTCAACCAAAATACCTCTAGATCTTCTCCTTATGCCAAAACAGCAGAAATTAAATGCAAAAAAGTGAATACAATAAGCTGTGAAATCAAGCCCTCAAAAGTCAAAAAGTTTGAAAAATTAAGGTTTCTTCTATAACGCTGCCAAAGTCTCATATGTAGGATTTTCTGTTTTACTGATTAAATGTAAATATTAAGGCCTAAATGGTAGAACTAAAGCCCTGAGCTGGGAATGCTGTGGAGTCACAAACATACTGCATCCCAGGTGCGGCCTGTGCCACCTTCTAAAGATGCGTGCTCCCCTGCGCAGTGAGGAGTGTGGGATATGGTCCACCCACCCTATCAAGCTGCCCTGCAGTGGCTCAGGAGCGTGAGTACTAACCACGGGGCAGACTGTCAAACCCCAAATTGGTTGTGAGTTCCTTACTCAGATTTCACCAACCAATTATCAAGTGTGAACTCCTCAGGCACTACAATAGCCTTCACATGGAGTCAGAGACAGTCCCCTTGGGTACTCCGATCTGTCTTGCTACCCAGGTGAGCCTGCCTTTGTGATAGATGAACTCATACACCAAAGATCACAGCAACATTCAGGCTACCCCCAGTCCTAAAAGATTGGTCACTTACCCCAGATCAGTTGCACTTTATATCTCACACCAAAGAAAATGCTTGTAGCCAATCATATAATAAACTATCTGAAGATTTATTAACAAGGAAAAGGAAACAAGAAAGTTGTTTACAAGGTTAAAGCAGGTAAACATATATACACACAAATGAGTTCCAATCTTAAGTTTCAAAAATAATAGAAGTTTCTATAATAAACAAGCTCTAGACATCCTTTAGGGCTAACCCAGGCTAAGCACTGGAGATCTTTTTTCTTATGCCCAGTTATCCTTGCCCCCCAGAGTCCAAGCAGCATAAAGATACAGTTCCTTCTTGTTAGGGGGTTTTATTCCCTTCACTTGTGCTTTGAGTTGAAAACTCAGCTGATGGGAAGAATAAACTTGGATGTCTCTACTGGTCCTCTATCCAGGGTTTGGGGTAGGAATTAGGTTGGGTGATGGTGTGTACATTTCTAAAATCCAAACAAAATCTCATGGTTTATCCCTTTTAGGTACCATCACAACAGGAGACACCCAGGGACTTTTTGATTTAGTGATCACTCCCACGTCTACCATGCTCTACAATTCCTCCTGAATTTGTCTTTGCAATTCGCTATTAGCATAGGCTCTGCTAGGAGCAGGGCAGGGTGCTGTAGTTTCAATGGAATGCATTATTTTTAATTAAACCCGGGAGGTTGGAAAATGAATGCCCCTGCCTGTGGTATTTCAAGAGAACCAATATCTCCCGCTTTTGGCTAGGTTCAAACCCTCTCAAATCTCAGTGCTCTCCGGAGTAGCCTCTTCGTTACTTTCCTTGACCAAATCCATTAAAGTTGAAGAAAGTGTTCCCTCAGAAGTATAACAAATCATATTCATCGCCATCTCTCTGTCATGGTGAGCCTTCAATCTACTGACATGTACTGTTTGCACAGCTCCCCTGCCATGGGGTTTCATTACATCATAAGTGACCTCATTCCCTCTCTCTTTTACTTCGAAAGGTCCCTCCCAGCAATCTTGTATCTTGTTTTCCCTCACAGGAATCAATACCAAGTCACCTATATAGAAGACTTTCTCTAGCATGCCTGTCATACCAAGCTTTCTGAGACGTCTGACTCCTTTCAAGGTTCTGATGCACTAAGTCCATCATAGCCATTAAATTGTCTTTAGAATGAGTGGCATTCTCCCCCCCTCCCCCTGGCTTTCCTAACTCCTTTGTACTACCCTCCCAGAGTCTTGAATTAAATCGAGAGGTGCCCTCACCTGTCTCTCGTAAAGGAGATCAAAGAGGGAAAACCACGTAGACTCTTGGGGTACACAAACAAGGGAGCAAACATCTCAGTCATCCTCTCACACATCCTCATCATAGACTTCAATAGCCTACTGAATCTTTCTACCAGCACATTAGTTTCTGGATGATTGTGGTGGCCTTTATATGCCTCACTCCACACAACTCCTGTAACTTTCTGAAAACGACAAGCATGAAATTTGCAACACAATTTGACAAGATTTCCCTGGGAAAACCTACCCTGCTATAACTGGTCATTAGGGCAGTAGCCACAGGTTCCACTTGTACATTAGATAGAACTCTCATTTCAGGTACCTGGTGGCAGAATCCACCACAGCCAGTATACATTTCTTTCCATTCCTGGAAGGTCTGGGTAGGGGTCCCACAATGTCTACAGACACTTTGGCAAACACTTCCTTAATGATGGGCAATGGCTGCCAAGGTGCCTTGCAGAGTCCATTTAACCTTTTATGCTTCTGACATATGACACAACTCTTACAGTTTTTTTTTCCTGTCTCACACATGTGAGGCTAATAAAAATTCTGTTGGAGCCTATCACAGGTTCCCTTCACCCCTAAATGTCCAACAAAGGGGCAATCAGGAACTACCTGCAGCCACGCTGTCCTGTACTTATCAAACATAAGCACCTGCTTGCAAACTTCACCACGGTGCCTCCTTTTCCTTATGGAAGCCTCCCTCTACAACAAACCTCCTTCTAGAAAAAAAATCTACCCTTTCCTTCCCCAGTCAGGGTATTATTCTGAGCTGCACTCCTCTCCTGGTGCAGGGAAGGATCAGCCTGTTGAGCCTCAATAAATTCCTTTTGTGTTTTACTTAAGTTAAGAGCAGACTCTGGCAAAGCCATGGAATCTCTGGGGAGAGACTGTTACTCACAGCTTATAAAGGACTGAGGGTATTTCCCTCCCCCTTGCAGCCCTCCCAGCTGTCTGTAGATAAGCCAGGTGAAGTACAGCTATACTCTTTCTGGCTGCAAGTTATGACATTAACCTGCTTAGACATGGCTAAGGTATCACTACCTATTACAATATCAGTGGGAAGTAGATTCCTAATACCCACAATAATATCTCCTTTAAAATCCTCAAACTTAAGGTAGACTTTGGCCAAAGGTACAGAGTATTCAGCCAAAGCTTAATATATTTAAACTCTTATCAGGAAGTCTGTCTTCCTCCCTTACCAAACTTTCCTTGACCAAAGCGAGGACCTTACAATCTATGCCATTTCCATTTAGCATTTTACATAAATTCTGAACTACCTTCCTAAGGTTCAGTCCTAATATAGTTCACTATTATCTTCTCCTGCTCTATTGCTGCCTCTGAAGCAAGGGTAGCGTCATTCACTGTGGCATATGGGGGTGTGGATTGTGAGGTCACCTTAAGTTTTAGGCAATATGATTTTATATGGCGGGGAGCCCCACAGTGATGACAGACTACTTGATTTCCCTTTTGGTAGGGGATTTTAAACCCTGGGTTCCTTTGTTGTTGTTATTTTTTTTTTAAATCAAAGTTGGGGTTACATTTATTTCCAATCTCCTCTTTCTTCTTAACCTGGGTGACATGAAGATTTCCCTTCCCCTGGGATTTACACTCGCCATGGGCCCTTAATGCAACATATTTATCAGCAATTTCTTCAGCCTCGAAAACTGTGGTTGGCTATTTGTCACAGATGGCTGCCTTTCTCACATCTGTAACTACCCATAACAATTGCTTCTGAGCCATCAGATCTGTTTTCCATGTTCACCTTCAGCATTCCTCATCATCACAAGTCGCCATTATCCTGGCACCTCCCAAGGGCTACAACCTCCATTTCCCATTTTCTCATATAATTACACATTTTATGTACATATTCAAGATGACTGACATTGTCAAACATTCTGAGGTTTCTATACTTAAACTGATAAGTCTCAGGGGTAATCTTAAATCTTTTCAATATGTTTTCTTTAAATTTTATATACACCATGGCATCACCCTCCTCCATATCATTAAAAACTTGTCTGGCTTTCCCAGTTAATCTGGTTAAGAGGATAGACATCTGTTTCTCTGCTGGGATATAGTGCATCCCACATAGTCTCTCAAAGGTGGACAGGAACTCTTCTATACAGTCAGTTTCTTTATAAGTTGGGTGGACTTTCTCCCACTCCCTTGCATGGTGGTGGTGGTGGGGTGTACTCACTGCATGGAGAAGCTCTTTTTGTTGCTCCAGTATTTTGAGCTGCATTGCTTGAACTTCCATCAGATTCAAGTGGGCTCTCTCTTCTGCTGCCTTGGCCTCCCTGATTGGCAGTTCTGCTATCGGTCACTGGTGCTTGCGTTCTTCTTGGGCTCTCAGGTCAATTGGGCCAGTTTCCCTGTGGTGGTCTCCTCTGTGGCATCTAGGGTAGGAGGGTCCTAGGGCTCCACCACCTCTTCTTCCCCTGGTGTCTGGTCAAAACTTATGAGCAAAGTTCTCAGCTCTTGAAGTGGGGCCTTCTTTTTATAGGATGGTCCACTCTCCAAATGTAACTGTTCAAGTTCTTTTCTCACAAGACCATCATATGACTGTGGTTCACTCATTGTGTCTATTATTTATCTTTTAGAACTCTCAGTATCAATTTAAAACTTTTAGTAGTGCTGGGGTTAAGATCTATAACCTTAATTGACCTGTGGTATGTGAATCCTGTCACGACTATGCCAATGTCAAGCTGTCCTGCAGTGGCTCAAGAACGTGAGTACTAATCACAGGGCAGACTGTTAGGGAACAAGGCACAAACCCCAAATTGGTTGTGAGTTCCTTACTCAGATTTCACCAACCAGTTATCAAGTGTGAACTCCTGAGGCACTATAACAGCCTTAACATGGAGTCACAGACAGTCCCCTTGGGTACTCCGATCTGTCTTGCCACCCAGGTGAGTTGCCTTTATGGCAGATGATCCCTTACACCAGAGATTGCTCCGAGTCCCAAATGACCAGTCACTTACCCCGGGTCAATCACAATTTAGATCTTACACCAAAGACAACGCTTGTAGCCAATCCTATAGTAAACTGCCTAAAAATGTATTAAATAGGAAAGGAAACAAGAAAGTTATTTACAAGGTTAAAGCACGTAAATATATATAGACACAAATGAGTTCCAATCTTAACTTTTAAAAAGTAATAGAAGCTTCTATAATAAGCAAGCTCTAGATGTCTTTTAGGGCTAACCCAGACTAAGCACTGGGGATCTTTTTTCTTATGCCCAGTCATCCTTGTCCTCCAGAGTCCAAGCAGCATAAAGATATAGTTCCTTCTTGTTAGGGGTTTTTATTCCCTTCCCCCTTGCCCTTTCAGCTGCAAACTCAGCTGATGGGAGGCACCTGGATGTCTCATCTTCATTGGGGGGGAGGGCACAAAGTTTTTTGTCCTCTTTAATGTTCCACAATAGTTTGTCTGGAGTTGAGAGGCCTTCCTTGTTGGCCAGGATGTAACACCTTCTGTTGGAGATCAGCACTTTACATTAGTTAACATCTCTCTTGTCTGGTGATATACACAGTCACAGAGGCTTATAATACAACGATCAAATATTACCTTACAATATGGGACACAGATGTTCTAATTAATGATGATTAATGCATGCAGGAACTTACAAGCATTCAATACAGTCTAAACAGTAATCACATTTTTATAATTCTAATACCTATTTTAACAATACTAACGCACCAGTGAGCCAGATTGATGTCAGCTATGTATTTGTCAGTTTCCAAGTGAGGCCTGGGACCCTGGCATGAACCAGCCAGCATCACACTTCCTTGTTAGAGTTGCTAATGCTGCTTACCATGCTAGCCAGAAGTACGTGGGCTAGTGCAAGGTCTGCAGCTGGAGCCAGCCCTGCACAGGAGTCGCAGGGGAAAGAAGCTCCTTATACTGTACCATTCCCCTGTTCACCTGCTAGCTTCAATCTGGCCCCAATAGATCAGGTCCAAATCCTACAGTCCTTACTCAAGCAAACTTCAAATAGCCTGGGTATGGAGTAAGTAAAAACAGAGAGACAGCAGAGTGAGGACCTCAGGATTTGGCACATAGTGTCTATGCACATATGGGCTGTGCAGTATGGCAGTTTTCAAGTGGCTGCAGAACCTTACTGTTGTATGCTGGAGTTCTCCACTTTAACACCTTATTAATGTTAGCAGTGTTTTACATTTATGTAATATATAAATGACCCACATCTCTATATAACTATTATATACGTATCCTAAGCATTTGTTTTGCTGGTAATCTGGAGAATACTAGTAACGCAGTATCCTGTGATATATAATTTATTCTATCAATCTGAATAATGCTCTCTTCATATAATGGAAGGGAAGATGTTTTGCTAAAGAATTGCTTATTGAGTGTCAGGACCAAATCTTACTTTGCTCCCATTATTATAACTGAACACATTGCAGGAAGAAAGTGAGTAGGATTAAGTCATTTGAAGTCTTTTTGTATATAACATTTTGCTTGAAGTTTGCTTTTCGGTGCTCTCATCCCTCCATCTTCTTCCTATCTTGGCATGTGCATCCCCCACTGGGAATACCAGGTCTATGCCTGCTTTTGCAGCCATAGCCAACACTTGCTTGGCAGGCTTATGAATACTTGTCCCCGCTTGGGTTTGCTGGCATCTGTCTCAAAGTGGGCAGCCTGTGCCAGCCAGCAGACTATTAGCCCTGTCAAATATTGTGACTCTCTGGTGAATAGCACAGTACGTAAAGCTGGCAACACTGGAGTAGCTAAGCCTACAAATAATTACTCCATTTGCAATTGTTTACTTCTTTACGTGCAAAGACTGGAAAAATTCTGACATACACAAAAGGATAAATGTTAATCTGTCCTGTGCCTTTGCGCTAATTACCTTTCTTCCATGATTTCTCTAATAGCTGCCACGTTAGGACCGGCTCCTAGATGGGTATAGAAAGGACCTTCGTCTTTTTCAATAATTTGCTCTGTTTAAAATAAAATAAAGGTTATTGCTTTAAAGCATAATTATTTAATATAAGAAATTGCATTGCAAAGCTTACCCACAGCTGGCCAGGTAAGACCCTGTTATGAATTTTTGCGGGCCAAACTTTCACACATACATGTCTAAAGTAGGCCCACAAATTATGCCCAAGTGTATTTGCAAAACATGAATTTACACATGTATAATGGGTGACAATGTGTGCAAGTAGATATTGCACGCCATTGTACCTTTTGCAAGCATAAATGCTTGTTTTATATTTGCAGTTACAGTGAAATTAAAAATTAGCATTTCCCAGTAGTTACTGAACAGTGATTTCTCACCCCAGTATTTAGAAGGGAGGACTTTTGTGGTCACATTGTCAAACATCATTTCAGGGGGCTATCAAGTATCTGTTTTTTGCATGTATGTGTAACTTATACACCTAAGGCTTGAAAATGTGGCCCCTAAAGTTAAACACAGCTTGAGTGGAGAGCGGACTCTTCTTGTTGAGTTCACAATTGCTGTATTAGCTGAAAAAGGGGTGGGGTAGACTGGGGCAAAGCTGAGATGAATGCTAGATGTTGAAGAAAAGCCTCTTTGTGCCGAATACATTGGAGAAATTATCTTAATATATCCATTATGTGAAAATGCAGGGTGATCTACTCTGTAAGTATCAGTGACAAGTTAAAACTACAAATGCAGAGTTTTGATTTCCCCATTCCATTTCTACAAGATTTCTCAAAGTGTGGCAAGGAGAAACAAGAAACCAGCTTCCAGTTTTATATTTCTCCTTGCAGTATGGTAATGCACTACAGTACTTTTTCCCTTCCGCCCTGTGTTAGTTTTCCTGAGATTCAACTCAAAACATTTTAGAAGGGGGGAAAGATTAACTTTGCATTTGTAGAGAACTATATTTCAACTTTATATCCTGGGGCAGGCTGTGTGTGTGTGTGTGGCAGAATGAAAAGGAGCATGCCAGCTACTACACTTCTGCTCTTCCTACAGTGCCAGTCCTGCTCTGTGCAGAGTGGGAGGGGATCCATGGACTTGCCCCTTTGCAGCCTCTTGGAGGAGAGCAGAGATGGAGCAGTCCCTGTGCTTCCTAAAGCACAGTGACTGAAGTTCCGCTTGGCCCTTACACTGGTCATTACCAGGGGCGTGGAAGGGAAGAAAGGAAGAAGGCACCTATGTAAAGGGTCATGCAAAATCCAACCCTCTGTTTTAGTCAGCCCTTACTCAGTCAAACGCTCAGTAATTTGACTGTGTATCTGAGTAAAAATGGAGTGAGGATCTCAGGTATTGGCCCCAAGACATCTTTCATGCAATCAATATCTCCAACCTTGACTTAAATAATACTGCATCAAATTAAATTGTGAAGCTGATCTTTTTATCAGATGTGTTTGCATAATATATGCCTGCGCTGAAGGAGACTGGATACAAAGAGATAAACAGATTGAAGAATCTACTTTATATTAGATTTGTATGCCATACATTAATGTACTAGCACACAAACCAGACAGATAACTGCTTTGTAACAAACATATGGTGGTGCTCTATTTTTAGTGTAAAAACTAGTGTTGCTGGAAAGAAACTGAAACTCTCCCTTGCTAATTGCTGGCATTCTCAAAAATCAACCCAAAATAAAACCAAACCAAACAAAACCCCAACAACTTTGAAAGTCACCGTCCTAATTGTGAATTAACAATGTATTTTTAGTACATTTCTTGTCACTTACCAACACAACTGCATGATGGGAAATCATATTGGGTTTTGACAGGTGTGTCCAATAAATTTTTTACAGGAGTATCCAATAACTTGGAAGGTGACTCTAAAAAATTATTTAGAACAGATCCAGCTGTTCTTTTAGTTGGGGTTTTTTCAGCAGAAGGAATAGCTTGTTGATCTAAGGCTGTGGTGTGGCTGTCAAATTCTGCAGCAATAGAATTTCTTGATAGGATAGTGATAGGGCCTGCTGTTTCAACCTTCACATGCTTAGGTGATTTGATAGTAAGAGCTTTGTGATCAAACAGTGATTTGACCTGAATCTGTTTCAGCTGCTGTTCCATTGTCTCAATGATACTCTTTTGTTGCATGTTCTCACAACTGAAGTGCTGATTCTCTTGTTTAATTGTTTTTTTCCATGTTTTGTTTTCCAGCTGTCCAGTTGATAGATGCATGCAGATATTAGACTTTGAGCCAGCCTCAACTTTTATAGGCTTGCGCATCACACTGGGACAAATTTCAGGTTTGGGTTGTTGGTGTATTTGCTGCTCTTGCTTTTGTAAGAGATGCCACCTGAGAGCAGCATGGTTTTGAAAATCCTTGTGGGGTTGAGCCTGAAGGTGACACCCTCTCTGGTCTTGTGGGAGAGTTTGTTGACTGTGTGGTAAGTACCTTTGCTGAATCGGTGTAGCTTGCTGGCTGGACATATCTTGTTTCAAATTTCTACCACATCCCTCTGGTTGTTGGAGTGGTCGCTGTATAACTGAAGCCTGTTGAGTTTGTTGCTCTTGTTCTTGAAAGCAATGATGCCCTTCTTGCTTTGGGGTCATACTATTTGGATAATATTGCATATGTTGCAAGTCCTGCATTTTGTTTACTCCAAAGAGTTCAGCATTTATGGTGTTTTCCTTCTTCTCAGAAACCAAGTGCATACAGCCAGGATGCTGCAGATTAGTATTTGTTTTCAGAATCTGATTGTAAAGGGAAGTTTTACTGTTGCTACTTTGTTCCTGCTCTAGTCCAAGCTGAGGGTTATGAGGGAACTCAGTTGGTTTTATATACTTATTCTCAGTTTGAAAACATTCTTCTCGTTTAAGCTGACTGTAGGATGCCCCATCTATTTGCTGTTCACTGTCACTTTGGGAATGGGAAAAGGTCTGAGACACTTCTTTGCTTTTCCTTTGCAGGGCTTGCTGCTGGTGGTGATTTGGGGTTAACTGGGGACTGCGTGACACTTGTGTCTGCTGCGCCTGTTTTTGCAACATCTGTTGTAAAATGTTTGAATGTAAGAACTGTTCATTCTCTGTTGTCTGGAGATTCAAGTACTGCCCCAAAGGCGGCTCAGTTTGTTGTTCTTGTCTTGCTTGGAAATGAAGCTGCTGCGTATGGTGTTGCTGCACATAGGACTTCACCAGAGAATTCATCTTTGTGAGCTGTGGCTGGGGAGAGTGCTTTTGGAACTGCAGCTGCTGCTCAGCTATAGGATGGGCTAGCAGTGGTGCTGCCTCGCTTTTGTACAGTTGAGGCATTTGTTCCTGTTGTATTATTTTCTGGCTATGGGACTGTCCTGAAGGCTCTTTTAATGCCTCAGGATTCCCAGTACACTGGTTTGAATGCATCTGTTCCTTTGGATTTGGCTGGAACTGGAGAATTGACCTCAATAAAGCCTCACTGGGCTTCTGGGGGGAATCTCTATGGTGAAAATGAGTGGAAATCAATTCTATCCAACCTGGTTTTGGATAATGTTGAGGCTGCTGTTTTGCTTGGTCTTTTCCTTTCTCAGGAGGGATCTCATGTTCTTTTTGTCCCAGGGGCTGTTGATAGTGTTGCTGCAACTCTCCATTGTTCCCGACTACCTGCAGATCTTGGATGTGAGGTTCTGATGTTGGCTTTATTTCTTCTGTGCATTGCTGAATGGAGGTCATCATGGCAGCTGGCAGATCACTTTCACTGCCACCCTGTTGTGACACCTCAGGCTTCTGTGGAAGCTTCTGTTGAGAGTTAGGTTGTTGCTGGGCAAGGTCAGGACTCTTGGATATCAGTTCCTCCTGCTGCCCTTCATTCTTCACTTCTATAGAAAGAGTTTCAACATTTCTGTTGTCATAGGGGTGATGTCCTTCTGTAACCGCAATGGACAGAGTGCTGTTCTTTTCTGGAGCTGGGGGAGGAGCAGAAGCAGGAGGAGGAGTGAAGGAATCCTTATTAGACATTGAGTTGTGCACCATTTTTTTAAACAAAGCACCATTTTTTTCTGCTTGCTCTGAAACCCCCTCCAGGCTATTGTTGTGAGCTTGCAGATTACTGCTGGAACTTAGAGAGAGACCTTGGTTGGGTGCCCGCCCCATATTTCCATGAACACTATCGTTTCCTATGGGTAACTGTTGTGTATCATAGCCTAGGTTTTGTTGCTGTAGCTCCGATTTCTGAAGCGAATAGCTACCTGGTAATACAGGTGGTTTACTGGAGTCTTCCATATTGTAGACCTCAGTAGCCACTACAGCTGGCACTTGAGGCAGCTCAGAGTTTGAGGTCTGTGGGGAAATGATCTGCCCTGAGGTATGGGATGAATGTGTTGTCTCATAGGACAACTCATTAGTAGCCTGACTGTTAATGGCATTTATGTGAGATGTGTTTTTCTGCATTGCAATGGAAACATGGTCTGGATAATATTGAGACAGTGTTTTTTCCAGGAGTTCACCATGCATGTTTTCCATGGAAGAGGCAGAAACTGTAGCACCATTAGGCATTGGCACTGCCTTGTTCTTAAGTAGTAAGACAATGTTCTTGTTGTGGCAATTAATGTTTTCCCTCTCTTGCTCATTCTGAATCTGGAGAGCTTCAGGATTTTCTGAACCATCACAGTTGTATCTTGAAGACTGTATAAAATAAGAAGCTGCATTTTCTTGTCCAGTAAAACTCACAGATTCCTTCTCATTGCATGAATTGCAGACAGTTGGTTTTTCATTGTTTTCCCCTGGCTCATCTTTTTCGCCATTTACCTCTTCATCTTGTTTAATTTTCTTGTTCTGATGAAGGCCATATAGAGAAGGCTCACTAAAAGTGCGTTTTATCCCACCATTTTGCATATACTTGGAATACACTCTCTTTTCCTGTAGGAGGTCAGGGCTGGTACGGTTATTTGGCTTTCCCTTCACGTGAGGTATTCCATAGCTGTTCTTAAAAAGTAGCCACTTATGGTCACCATTTACTTCAGCATGGGTTCGCTCTGTTAGTGGACTTCCATTCTGCAGCTTCACTGACAAAGGCTCCACCTGGCAAACATGAGAAGGATGTGGTATTAAAAATGGGCTCAATCTATTGCCATCAACATGGTTGGTTCTATCCTGTTCCATCTGGCCTGCTCCGGGGCCATCCACAAGGCTGCCCTTTTAACGTATCTGAAAGAGAAAAAGGGAGGGAAAAGGGTGTAAGTTTAGTTTTATTTGATACAGATCAAATCACTGACCAGACACAATATTTGAGCATCTGCCCTCCTGACTTATCTATGCACAGCATGCCACGTTACAGTGGTCTCCCAATGTTTTCTGAGGGTGTTTTCAGTAGCATTGGACTTTGGTATTATAAAGTGTCATTTTTTCATGCTGCAGTATGATTTATTTTTAATAAATGAAGGATAAAATTTGAACTGAAACAATATCAGATTGGGCCTGAACATGTGAAGCTGATGGTGGTATGCAAGCAGAGTGAAACTGAACTAGACGGACCTGCTTTTAAAATGCAGGAAAAATGCTTGGTTTCTTAACTTGAAACCATTATACTTTATAGCAAAATACTGTCTTAGTTCACATTTTAATTTGACATGCTTTCTAAAGTTCAGCACACGATTAGTTCAAGTGTGTTTTCAAACTTGATAAGAACATTTTCAGCACCATGTAAGTTCCTAACACTGGATGCACAGGTGAGAAACTCAGATTAGTATAGAAAAGGGCATGCAAAAATAAACTGGGGATGAGAAAATGCTGTTCAAACAGAAATATACTTATCTTAACGCTAAATCTCTTGCATGACTAATAATCATTTTTTAATGAAAATATAAGTATTTACTGCTTGCATACTCTTTGCCTGTACTTTTCTGTAATGATTTTTCTTCCAAGTAAGGTGGAAAATCATGCAGAAACTGTAGTTCCCAGACTTAGAGCTAATCCTGTTATTTGATTATAGGATGCCAAGCCTCTTTTGTCTGATTTGAAGGATTATTGCCACCAAGCTTGCTGGTTAGAGAGGTACCCCCGCCCCTTTACTTGTCAGCTGTTTGACAAGGTCATTTAAAGTTGGTTTTCCAAAGATCTCACCCTTAGCAAAATACAGGCATGAGAAAACAAAACAAAAACTGACTTCTCTCCACTGGAATCCCTACACTCATTCATTATTGTTACAGTACCAACATTACCATGATGCATTTATTTAAGGAAAAAAATTAAAATCATGGTATTCATATGCAACAGACTGTACTTGCTTGACATTATGAATGCAGCCTGTGAGTATGCCTTTAGAATTTGTATTTTTGTTTTTGTTTCGCAGCAAAGCCTAAAATCTGAGTGTCTTGGATTTGAATTGGGTTGTCTGGAAATTCTTCTCTTCAATAAATATCTTAATATTCAATAAAATATTTACCTTTTATATAAAAAAGGTTTCACATTGGATAAAAGTGCTGCCAGGGTGTAGTGAACAAATTCCACCCAACAACTGTCCAATTCTGGTTAGGCAGATCAACTGAAGGTTCAGAATGACAGAAAACGTAGAGAAAGCTGTTGTTGAACTCTCTCCAGAATTTGTTCTTTGTTGGTTTTATCGTTCTCCACCAGCCCAAATGACAGAAGACAGACTGGCAGAGCACCTTGCAGATGTTGGAAGGATTGGGAAAGTTAGGAAAATGAGGCAAATAATAAATACATAACGTACTAAAGGTACAAATGAGTCTAAGGTAAAAATTTTGACTCAGGGAAATTTTTGCAATGAAGACATTACTTCTAGTTTGCATAGAAAGGGAATATGAAGGGCTCTCTATTATTAATTCATACTTGCTTGGTCTGCTAAGCAAGCTTGAGCCTCACAAGTGGCTGATATTACCACTCCACAGAGAGGACTATTACATTTGAAAATTTCTCCTATCATAGTAGATTTGCCTCCAAGAGCACAGAACAGGATTATTTATCCTCTAATTTTTTTACAATATCAAATTACACCTAATTTATACAATGTGCACTGAATTCCAGGGTATTATTGCCTTACTAAGCTCAAGTGAGTAATAGAATTCAGAAACGCTCTTTAAATAAGAATTGCTCTTGGGGCCATGTAAAATTACTATAAGCAGAATTGATAGCATTATATAAGATTACTGGGATTCCCTTTCTGTTCAGGGCGCTGACTTCAAAATAGGGACAATCGAAGCATCACAGGTGCATGCTAGTCAAAACTGGACAGCTGGACATACGATAACCACACCCCCTCATTAGTTCTTAAATGTGCTTTTAACCCTTTTCTCGGTGTGCTCGGATTATTCTTTATACAAGGAAAATATGCTAGGGTCACATTGCTTCCCAAAACCCCACCTCTAACAAAGTGAGTTTATAAAGTAATTTGAAAAACAGAAACTAGAGATGGAGAAGATCAGTTCTAGTCTGCCCCCCTAATAAAGCAGGATTCTTCTGTGTACAATATATATTCCAGCATCTTGGCCTGGCTAGCTTTAAGAGTCCCAGGTGATAAGGCATTCCTGGGGAGACTATTCCAAAGCACAATAGACATCGCTGTTAGACTGGCACATCAGGGAAACTTTCTAAGTTCCTCTCATTCCATATAGTTCTTTGAAATAAAAATGCAAAGTAAAGGATGCTGCAGAATTACATTCCTTCCCAATGGGGTGAAAGAAACATTCACCCTAACCTGAAATTCCTTCCCTTTCATTCCCTACCTGCTGTCTTTTGATACCTTAGCTTGCAGCTGAACAACAACTCTCAGAGGTGAAAGATGAGTGTGTAAGCTGCTAAATGACACAGTATTCTGAGCAAAGTACAAAGGAACAGTAATTAACACTGCCCTATCAGATTATTTTTTATTTCTATCAAAACAAGGTATTAGTCTGTGTGACTGAGCCAGAGGAATCCTCTCCATTGTCCTCAAAGCATATCAGTATTTTAACACTGGTGGTTGAACTCTACTTTATCACAGAGGGTAAAGTTTAACTCTTGTTAAAAGTTTTCAAAAGCTCCTTTTGCTCTGTGTTTTGTTGATGGATAAAAGAGCCTCCATACTTGAGGAGTGTGTGGCCTGTATCTAAACTCAGCATGCAAACCTTCGTGCAAAGTGTGCCTGCTCCTCAGGAGGGAAACTCATGATCCTTGAAAGCCACGTATTTCCTTCCTTACTATATGACAAAAAATACATGCACTCTTCACAGGCTTCTCAAAAGCCTCACACTACAAATCAACCAATCCCTTGGATTCTGATTGGCTCCAGCATAAAAGGAGGTGGTGGAAGGCAATCCAAAGCAGGATTAAACCATTTGACTCTTCAAAGCCTAGTATGGACTCATTGGTTTAAAAAGCCTCACACTTCCTTTCTTCAGAATAACTGTAGGATTGGGGTTACTTTGCCTTACTCTTGATTCCCCATGTCTAAACTCAGTTATTCACAATCCTCCTGAATCTCGTCTTATTACAAACTATAAAAGGTGCTCAGACAAATCACAGTAATTTTTTGTAATGCAATTTAAAGTTAGGAAATACCAAGCAATGGCATACCTCTGGTATTTATTTCAGCTAGTACACCATGCATGTGCTTTAGATGCTACTGTTGAATAGAATTGTTTACGGCTGCAAAATCTGGACTCTGTGGTCTTTTTACATTTGTGGTGGGGTGAACTACATTTCTTTTAAAGAAAACTCACCTTTACTAATGGATAGTAGTTTATTTTTTCTCCTCCAGTAATAGTTGTTAGAGCCAATACACTTAGCAGCTCTACATATTTTTCCCCAGCCATAATTTATTAGAAATTCAAGTCACATCAGCAGCATCTGTGAAACAATTACTGCATCTAGGACTGACTCTGCAGTCTAATCCATCATAATTATGACTGGCCTCTTTGAAGATGCCATGATGCATGACTTAAAAATAGCACATTACTGTGGAAATGGATCAGCATCTCACATTCCACCAAGTTGTAATTCTGCCCACCACTGTTTGACTTCTTGAAGTATCCAGGGACATACATGTATTTCTTGCCACATACGGGGCACAAATGAGAGATAAGGAGTTAGAAGTATATTATTGTTGGTTTGGTTTTGTTTTTTAAAAGATGTGTACATGCCTCTTTGGAGTGCTCCTGCAATCTTCTTGAGCACAGAATACATAAGAGTCACTCATGTACAATTTGATGACAGGAAAAACATATATATATTTATTTTTTGGTCAAAAGTAACCTTAGTTATCTTGATTTGCTCTCTTTTGATAACTTCTCTATTTTGAGCCAATTCCTGAGGTTCCTATTTTATTAACTATTTGTAGTGTGCTGATGTGGTAGCTAGGGACTTTGTGAATGCAAAGAAGTTTGCTTGAGTAAACATCCATGATCAGATTCTAACCAGCCCCTGTACATACATCTAGTGCAGCAGGAGTAGGAAGAAAATTGGGGTGAGTTCCCCTCTCCTTTGGCACTTCCACAAGGGCTGGCCAGAATCCTATTAGGAAGAGCAGTGACTGTTCTCTGTTAGGATGTCCATGAACACTTGCTGGCTGACAGAATTAAGATGGGTGGTACTATAGCCCGTCCATATCAACTAGAAACAGAGCAGAGAACACACTGCATCTTCTCCAGGGTGACTTGCTGATAGCCCAGCCATTCACCGTGTATTTATGCAGCCAGACCTCTTTGGGCTGTGATTTCAAACATAAATGGGGTTGGACTTGGTCAGTAGCTGGATGGGAGAACACAAAGTAAAAGTCAAGGAACTACAAATGATAGCAATGGTGTGACAGTCCCTTCTATGTCAGTATTAAACTACTGCCCTGCCCCAGCATGATGCTTGGGTCACTGTACTGCTAGACACTTTTGGATGAAACAGGTCTAAATCATTTGCAGTCATTAAATTCCCATGGCAGTTTCTGCAAGAGTTTCTGTTTATCTAGGGCTACGTCTTCACTACCCGCCGATCCGGCGGGTAGCAATCGGTTTATCGGGGATCGACTTACCGCGTCTCGTGAGGACGCGGTAAAATCGATCCCTGATCGCTCTGCCGTCGACTCCGGAAATCCACCTCGACAAGAGGCGGCAGCGGAGTCGGCGGCAGCGCGGCAGCGGTCGGCTTTCCCCCGTCCTCACCACCAGGTAAGCCGACCTAAAATACGCAACTTCAGCTACGGTATTCACGTAGCTGAA